TCTGGAAGGACGATTTCCCCTTGTAGGTGGTCTGAAGGAAGGAAGGAGTGGGACGTTAGAGGAAAAGGACAAGGCAGAATAACAGGGACTCAAGCAAGAGACTCTATACCATTCCAGACAAGGGGCTGTCCAGTTTCCCAGTGATGGAGCAGCCACAACTTCTGGTGGCAAGCTGTTCCACTGGTTAATTGTCCTCACTGTTCGGAAGTTCCTCCTTAATTCCAGGTTTGCTTCTCTCCTTGATTAGTTTCCACCCTTTGCTTCTTGCCTTGCCTTCTGGTGCTTTGGAGAATAGCTTGACTCCCTCTTCTTTGGGGCAGCCCCTGAGATATTGGAAGGCTGCTATTATGTTCCCCACTAGTCCTTCTTTCCATTAAACTAGACGTACCCAGTTCCTGCTATCGTTCTTCGTACGTTTTAGCTTCCAGTCCCCTAATCATCTTGGTTGCTCTTCTCTGCACTCAGGCCAAAGTCTCAACATTATTTTATAATACGGTGACCGAAAGTGGACGCGGTCCTGCCTCTCCTGGGCCAAGTGAGTGCGCTCTTCCTGTAAGTGGGAATGACCTTGGTGGGCAGAAGGGAAGCTGCAGACTGGACAACGGTCGGATAAGAGGCAGCTGAGCCCGCAGGAGGAAAAGGGGTGTGGGAAGCACCACCGAAATTTATTCAAATTTTCTTTCCCCTGAATACCCAAATCGCTCTTCAGGTTAGATGTGTGACCAGGGGTGGGATTCAAAAATCACTGCCCAGTTGCTGGGTGGGCGTGGCCATACTTTCAGGAGGGCCGTTTTCCCCCCTCCCAGAGCCTCCTGCACTTACCTGCATCGAAAATGGGCCACGTGGAGACTCCTGGGAGGGGAGGGGAGGGGTGAACGGGGCCAGATGGTCGGTTCAAATACCGGTATGGCAAACCAGGTGCAAAATTAAACATCCGGTTCGCCCCAACCGGTGTGAACCGGTCGAATCTCACCCCTGGGTGTGACCATATTGGGAAAAGTATCCAGGAGACTAAGCACTTTTACTTTTTTTTCCCCCTGCAGGTTTCTTTAGAAGCCCTGGCTCCTAAGGACTAGGATCTTGGTCCGTTTTTCAGTTCTGGAGATGAAAAGGGCGCGACGATCTCAGAAAGCCACAACTGGAAAAATCAGGGGTCTCTCACCGACTCAAAGGCCATGGAGATCCACTGGACCTTGCCGTCCTTCACCCCCACCGTCCCATGGGAGAGTTGTCCGGGAAGCAGATTGGGCTCAGGGAGGTTCTTACACTCTGGGTGTAGCATCTGAAGGACAGAGGAGACACTGTAACCTAGAAAGGGAAAGAAAATGGGATTTTTTTTCCCCCCGTGCATTCTGCAAATGGGGGTCTGCAAAACTATCTATATTCATAATGCGTTTATTTTATTTTATTTAGTTGTATGATTTGTACAGCCACCTATCTTGCTGGGCGTCTTGAAGGCCCATTCGGTTTTTCCTCAGGAACCTTCCATGGCCTTGAAGGCCCATTCGGTGTTTCCTGAGGAACCTTCCATGGCCTTGAAGGCCCATTCGGTGTTTCCTCAGGAACTTTCCATGGCCTTGAAGGCCCATTCGGTTTTTCCTCAGGAACTTTCCATGGCCTTGAAGGCCATGACCTTGAAGGCCCATTTAGTGTTTCCTGAGGAACCTTCCATGACCTTGAAGGCCCATTCAGTGTTTCCTGAGGAACCTTCCATGGCCTTGAAGGCCCATTCGGTTTTTCCTCAGGAACTTTCCATGGCCTTGAAGGCCATGACCTTGAAGGCCCATTTAGTGTTTCCTGAGGAACCTTCCATGGCCTTGAAGGCCCATTTGGTGTTTCCTGAGGAACTTTCCATGGCCTTGAAGGCCCATTCGGTTTTTCCTCAGGAACTTTCCATGGCCTTGAAGGCCCATTCGGTGTTTCCTCAGGAACTTTCCATGATCTTGAAGGCCCATTTGGTGTTTCCTCAGGAACTTTCCATGGCCTTGAAGGCCCATTTGGTGTTTCCTCAGGAACTTTCTATGATCTTGAAGGCCCATTCGGTGTTTCCTCAGGAACCTTCCATGGCCTTGAAGGCCATGACCTTGAAGGCCCATTTAGTGTTTCCTGAGGAACCTTCCATGATCTTGAAGGCCCATTCGGTGTTTCCTCAGGAACCTTCCATGGCCTTGAAGGCCCATTCGGTGTTTCCTCAGGATCTTTCCATGACCTTGAAGGCCATCAGAGGCAATGGTGACATCAGCCCATATGCTCCCTCAAGACTGTCGATAGAGACCTTAGATTCCTGGTCAACACTAGAGAGGCCCACTAGAGAGCGTGGCTCACACAATCGAAGCCTGAGAAGGGGAAGGGGAGATACCTGAAGGGAGGCACTGAGCTCCTCCTGGCTTGACCAGCTCGGCGTTGCTGGCGATGGCCTTACAGATCCGGCACAGGTTGCCGATTTCTTTGAACAGGTCGAAGCTGCTGTCATAGATGACGCTACCCTTTCCAAAGGAGATACAAGCGGCGAAGAGGACATGTAAGCGAGACCCGACCTGGTGAGGCTCCTCCAGCCCCACAGACCCCAGGAAAGGACACGCACCATGTCTCCAATGACGTGGTTGTCGGTGTGCCGGGTACGGTTGACCCCAAGGATCCCAAACACCACGAAAACCATGGCGCCCGTGTCCACCAGCGGACGCACGGCAGGCTTCCCGCAGTTGCCGTTCCGACAAGGGTTGAATCCTGACGTGATGGAGAACCTGGATCTGGAAGAGGCTGGAGAAGGAGAGAGGACAGAGCAAGGAAGTGGTGTAGGTGTTAGGGTGATGGCGTTGAGACTTTAGTCCAGAGGTCCACAAACTTTCAAAGATATTAACTAGGTGACTGAAGTTTCTGCCATGCAAATATCTAATTGGAGAACATGATTGATGACTCTGGGCTATGGATGTGTCCCATTGGAGAATATGAATTATGATACAGCCGGGGGGCAGGGAAACCAGGGTCAAGGTTCTCAGAGTCGGCTATACCCAGGCAGTGCCGGACAGTTTAACTCCCAATAAATCCTTTTCAAGTTTTGGAAGTTTGGCTCGAGACTCATGATTTAAACGGGGGTAACTGCCGGAATCCTGACAGCCTGTCTTATTATCACATGTGTGGCAATTCTTCCCTACACTGATCCTCACAACAACCCTGCATGTGGGTCAGACTAAGGAGGCCGCAGAAAGTCCCTTCACAGGGCCTTGAGCCTCCTCCCTCTGCTTCCTCTCCCACCACCACAACTAGCTGTAAGTGTGCCAGAATGAAGAGAACACACACACTCCCCTCGTTTCATGGGTGGCTCACCTCTCTCACTTGGCACGAACAGGTATCCTTTGTTGGGTCCATCTGGGCTGGAGCTGAGGAGGCAGCCCGGGGGTGCCAGGCAGACTCGGCTGTGGTACGGAGGCTTGTGTGACTGGGCGAAATACAGCTTCCTGGGGATAGAGCCATAGCAACAGCACTTACGCTTCACAGAGTTTCACAGCCCTCTCTAAGCGGTTGACAGAGCCAGCCTCTTGCCCCCCAACCTCATTTTACCAAACCCAGGTGGGTGGAAGGCTGAGTCAACCTTGAGCTGGTCAGGATCAAACTCCTGGCAGTCGGCAGAGTTAGCCTGCAATACTGCATTCTAACCACTGGGAGGAAGGAAGGAAG